ACTTCAGCAACAATTGATCGATCCATGCCCCATATATTGTCCTAATTAAATTTTATCTGACTGATCATGAGTTCAAATCCTCAAGACACTTAAGAATATTGTAAAAAAAAGAATAATAAGGTTATTTTCCTTTTCTTCTCTTTTATGTTGGATTGAATCATTGTTAATTTTTTTTCCTTTTAAAAATTCATTGTTAAATTTTATTATAAAAAATTATTTTCAAACATTAAATAATGTGTATAAAGTACATGAGTGTTGACCAGAAAGGAGTATAGACTAAAAACTCACTCTCTCTTTTATTTTATTTTTCAATTAATTTAGCTTATATTAAATTTAAATGTTATTTTCAATTTAATTTATGTTAATTTGATAATTTTTATAAAATATTTAGTATTAACTATTATTTCTAATTTTAACTTGCACTTCCTAATCAAAAGAAAATTATATAATCTTAAGAGAATCTATAAAGCAAATAGCAAATAAGTGAGATAACATATATCTCCCATTGTGAGTTCGAACCCCCACCCCGCACGTTGTACTAAAAAAAGAAATTAGAATTTATACTATCTAAAAATGTAAGAATGCATTCATGAATTCAACAATCAAAGATTTAAACTTTCAACCTGAGAGAATAAATATACATTTAACATGTTTAGGTTGACTAAAACTTATATTTTCATTATTATTATTTTTACTTTCCATTTAACTAAACTTTTAAATATTAGTATGAAGAACCATTTGTAAAAGATTTAAAAAACAAAAATTAGGTCAAGGTGAGTAACTAGTTTATCGCAAGAATTGAATCTTAAAGAAATTAGGATTTAAATGCATAGAATAAAAATGACACACATCCTTAAATTGCATCTCACCCAGTGTTCTTGCCCTTTTCTTTGCTGTTGAATTAGGGATTTTTTTTTCCTACCTAGCCTTATCCATATACTATACATAATTATCTCTGGTAGTTAGAGTAAGAGTGTTAAGGACGATTGATATTATTCGCTTTGGTCATAAGCTCATGGTCCTACTTTTAGTTTCACCCTCGTACTAATGGAGATAATTGTCCTCATCTATATATCATGAATCAATTTTCTTCCTAACCAATGTGAGATTTTGTTTGCACATCTTACAACCCAAATAAAGTGCTTCACCGTTCAAAATTAGGAAGGAAAAAATTGTGTGCGTGTGGTCACGATCGTTCTACACATATTGCTTGATGCTATGATTGCTAAAATCTTGGCGGTCCTTTAGAGGCGGTTCAAGATGATATGGGGCCTTGGGCAATGGAATATATCAAATTTTTAACTACAAGAATAATTTTTGTTAATCCTTTATTCCAATGTTCTTTTTCTTTATTAATTAATTGTTGTTAATCCTTTATTCCAATGTTCTTTTTCTTTATTAATTAATTGTTGAATATCTTTGTCAATTATTTTATTATTTAACGATCTAAATCAACTCAATCATTCACCTTCAATATTACTATTCATGACTTCTATGTCGAGAACTAATATTAGTTTTTAAAACCCTTTCATCCCCTAATTTAACTCTATTATACTTAGTACCAAATAACTTACGACAAATAGAATAAACTTTATCAAAATTTTATGAATATACTAGCCAATTTCTATCATATCTTTCGCCGTTAGATAATTTTTTTAATATAATAAATATAATAAAAATTTCTAGAATTTTCATCTTTTAGAAAAATTAAATTATTTTCTCTATTGAAACGTTTTTCTACCAATAAATTAATTAATTTAGAATCAATAATTTCCTATCTTCTTGGATAATACATTATAATCAGAATGCATCGTACCTAATATTTTATTTCCATTATTTTTTTTTTCTTAAGCTTTTCATATCCATATTTATATTTTCTTCTAGACATATTGGTATTCTAAGTAAGTAAATCTAAACGAATCTCAAAGGTATTGAACAATCAACAACATGAAATAACTTTTTTTTAAAAAAAAAAGTAAAAGAATTTGAAAGAAAAAATTTGGAATTTTGAAGTCGCTAGATTAATTTAAGTAAATAAGAATTTCTATTTAGCAATTGATAATCACACTTGGAGTTGTGATAAAACAAGAAGATCAACGCATGAAAAGTTGAGATTTGAGAGAGACTACGTGAGTTAAAAGTTAACGTAAATTTGAAAGAGTTTTTAAGGAAATTATATTAATGTTGAAATTTTAATGAAAGGGATTATGAAGGAAAAGTAAATAAAAGTTAACAAAATTTAAATTGTATCCAATTAAAATTCGAAAAAAATTATGAGCCCATTCATTATGATTTCTTATTTTCCAGACAACTACTTATATTATTAGTTTGTATTATCAATATTATAACAAAAAAAATTATGAAAAGTATATAATATATATATGTATATATATACTTTTCATAATTTTATTTATAATTAAAAATCTAAAATAAATAGATAACAATATTATAGTATACCTACTATATATTATATTTATATGAAAAATATGAGGCCTTTGTAGAGCTGAGGCCTTAGGCGATCACGTTACTCACCATTAGGGCGTTTTAGAAAATATATGTATTTACCTATAATATTAGGTTTAAAATTTTACAAAAAATAATATTAAATTGTAGACAAATCAAAAGTCACTCTTCTTATTTTTTTTTTGGAAAAATAAAAAAGCGATGATGTTTTTTTATAAATACATATTATTTATTTTGTACCATTTAGTATAATTTTCTAGATTTTAGTGGAGGTTCTTTTATTGGTTTTAGACCTGATAACCATTTTTGTTTTTGATTTTTAGTTTTTCTTCTTTTTAGTTTTTGGTTTTTGGTTTTCTGTTTTTTAAAAAAAATAAAAACCATATATGTTTGATAACCATTTTTTATTTTTTATTTTTAAAAAATAGAAAACCAAACATGTTTAGTAACATTGTAGTTTTCTATTTTTAAAAAGATAGAAAATAGAAAATTCATATTAGAGAAGGAAAATTCTATGCATGAGTAGAGATGACAATGGTGTGTGTGCGAGTGAGGATGTTCTCCCCCATTCTCGTGCTCGTGAAAATTTTTAAACCCCATCCCCACCTCGTTCTTCAGTTTAAGAGATGTTCTCGACAAAATTTATTGGTTTTATAATTGTTTTTAATTATTTTTAGAATCTAAGTATAAGAAAAATTAATAAATATATATTAATTATTTAAAAAATGGAATCGGGGATGGGGATGGGGTCGGGCATGCATTCCCTATTTTTGGGGCCCGACCATGTGGAAATTTTTGTCATCCCCTAATGTAGAGACATGAAAAAAATACAAGTTTAAAAAGATATAAACAAATTTTTTGAAGATCAATTTTAGAGAGATAAATAAAAAGATTTAGAAAAAAAATAGTGAAAGAGAAGTTAAAGACAAAAAGAGAAAATTTTGGAGAAAAAAAAGTAAAGTCGAGAGTAAAAGATATGTTAAAGAAAAAAAAAAACAAAGAAAGAGAAAAATGATAGTGTAAACAAATTTATAGATAAAAATAAGATTCAAAATATAATTTTTAGAGAAAATAAATAAATACAGAGAGAAATAAAAGTTACAGTGGAAGAAAATTGAACGAGAAAATAAAATATAATTTTTAGAGGAAAAAATAGATTATGAACGGACGAAATTTTAGAGAGAGAAAAATTACGAAAACTATTAAATTTTTAGTGAGAGAAGTGAAACTGATATGTTAGAAAAAAATAAAAAAATAAAAATACAGAAAAATTTGGAGGGAGACAAATAATAATAAATATTCAAAATATGAAAATTTTAGAAAGAGAAAAATAAATTTTGTAGAGAAAAATTTAGAAATAATAAAATTTTAGAGTGAGAAATAATTTTTTTAAAGATAGATATGAGAAAAAAAAAATCGTTATCAAACGAGTTTTGTGCTTTTTTTTTTCTTCCTTATTTTAAAGTAAGTAAAGTACCTAAATATTTTTTCAAGTGAATGTGATCTTTTAATTTGATTGGGATATATAATGAAATAATAAGGTTCTTTTTTAATGCAAGAAAGTATAATAACATTTTTTTTATTTTAGTATTTTAAAATATAAAAAATTATCACACATCTTAACTATTATTACAATTTGAATAATTTTTAAACTTAATAACGTGGTATATGAATAATTGTCATATATATCTAATCAAAAAGTTGTGAGTTTGATTTACTTCTCATACATTGTCATAAAAAAAAAGTTAGATTTTATAAATAGTGAAGATTCTGAGTTCAAATCTTCAAGATACTTAAAGAATATCGTTAAAAAAGAATAATAAAGTTTTTTTTTTATGTTAGATTGAATAATTGTTAATTTTTCTCCCTTTTGAGTTCATTGTTAAATTTTTTTATAAAAAAATATTTTTAAACATTAAATAATGTATATAAAATACGTGAGTGCTAGCTAGTATGTAGAAAGGAGTATCCACTAAAAACTCTCTTTTTTTTTCAATTAATTTAGTTTATATTAAATTTAAATATTTTTCAAAGCACATTAATTTATGTTAATCTGATATTTTTATACAAAATTTAGTATTAACTATTAAGTCTAATTTTAACTTGCACTATTTAATCAAAAGAAAATTATAAAATTTTAAGCAAATCTATAAGCAAATAAGTGGAGATATTATAGAATCCAATTAGAATTTATATTAGACATAAATGTAAATTAATATATCAATTTTTTAATTATAAAATCAAAAATTAAAAAATAAAAAACATTCAAATTCAACAATCAAAGTTTTAAACTTTCAACCTGAGATCGAATAAATATACATTTAACATGTTTAGGTTTGACTAAAACCTATATTTATTATTATTATTTTTTACTTTTCATTTAACTAAACTTTTAAATATTAGCTCGAATAACCATCTGCAAAGACTAAAAAAAACAAAAATTAGGTCAAACTGAGTAACTAGTTTATCGCAAAAAATGAATCTTAAAGAAATTAGGATTTAAATGCATAAAATAAAAATGGCACACATCCTTAAATTGCATCTCACCCATTGTTGTTGCCCTTTCCTCTCTGCTGCTGAATTAGGGATTTTTTTTCCTCCATCCTCTGATTCTCACTGCTTCCATATCTTCTTCTTCCTCCTCCACCACCGCTTACTCCTTCTCTCTCTCCTCATGAATTTCTGCTTCACATCACTCTTCACTCCCTCCCCTCGCTAGCCACACTTCCCTTCGATCGCCCTCCTGTTTGGGATTCGGGAGTTTGATCTGTAATTCGAGCGATCTGGTGGGGGTTCTTTCGTTTTTTTTTTTCCTTTGTTCAATCGCCATGGTAGGAGGCGGGCCTCAAGTTCTGGAACAGCAACAGCAATCTCTGCCTCAGCCCCTGTCTGCCGCGGAGGAGGAGGCTGTTAAGAGGAACACGGACTGTGTCTACTTTCTTGCTTCGCCTTTGACTTGTAAAAAGGTTTTTTTCTACTCTGATTTTGCTTGATTTGGCCCCCCTTCTGCTATTTAATTTCGAATTGTTTTGTTGGGTTTCGGCGATTTTGGTTTGTTCATAAGATCTGAATGGGTTGGGATCCTGGGATTCGGCTACTAGCGAGAAATTTGTGTTGTGGAAATTTGGCAAGTTCGCGTATTTGAAGTCTTTTTTCGAGTGGACATGGAATTTATTTCACCCCAAGTCACTGGGGATTTACTGTTCCTTCTCATGAAATTGTTGCCAATTTCGTACCTTTTTGGGGCGTCAGCCGCTTAACATGTTCGTGTGATTTGTAAGGAAAAACTTTTTCTTTCTTGATGGTCACGTGTGTGTGTGATGATGAAAATTTTATGTAGCTTGTGGAGACTCTACAACTTGTTGGACTGAATGCATGTAATTCAGATGTGCGATGTGAGTGTTATAGAATATTTACTCAAGGGTTTTCATTTATTGTGTGGTCGACTTACTATGATTTCAAATATTTGGGATTTAATACTGGAATAAGATGTCAATTGAGTTTTTTGAATTCTCGATTGGATTTGTCCAGCAGTTTGTAAATGCGTTGTAGATATTTCTTCACTTCTCTAGGACTCAAATTGATTGGATTTTATATTTTCTTCTTTCCCTGTAGTATCATTTTGCATCAATGCTAAATGGGAAACATTGAATTTTGTGCAATAGGTTTATATTGCGCAACCATGAGAACTGAAAGAATCTAAGTTTGTTTGTTCTCTTCTTTAGTTAGAGTTTACCAGTTATCAGTCATGTTTGTTGGCCTTTTATTACGAGTTGGCTGTTACAACAATTCAATCTTGCTTGCGTTTACATTGTCAATATAAATTTTTTAACTAATTGGTTCCCCTTCATAAACTTATTTGGTTATACATCCTAATAATCAAGAGGTTATTTGGCATTCATGTTTGTATTATTTGTACATCAGTGAGGAATGTGTTTGTTTCATACATGTTATGTATGTTGAAGATATAATGTTGTTGAATTATTTCAGTAATATCTCTCTGTAATTTGAATTTATAACAGGGAAGTGAATGTGAGTATCGCCATAGTGAATATGCCCGGGTCAATCCCAGGGATTGCTGGTTCTGGTTGAATGGTAACTGCTTGAATCCAAAGTGTTCATTCCGACATCCAGTAAGTTTTATTCTCTTGCTTTGTGGAAAGGAAACTGTTTATGTTCTTAAGTACATCTATCTTTATCATTTTGTGTGAAAATCATTTAGTATTTTTCTATTTCCAATTCAAGTTGATTGATTTCCATCTCTCTCGTTACTGTTCTCTTTTAGCCTCTTGATGGCTTGGTAGGAACTCCTCATGCAACAAATCCAAGTTCTCAGGTTCCTCACCAGACATCATCAATTCCATCCACTCCTGTCAATTCGAGTAAACAAGCAGTCCCCTGCATTTTCTTCCAGAAGGGTCTGTGTCTGAAAGGAGATCGATGTGCGTTCATGCATGGGCCTTCTCCGGCTTCAACCAACAAAGTTTCCCAGACAGCAGCAAATGCCCAAACTGGCGAGCCACTGAGTGTCAAGAAAGTTTCTGGTGGTACCCAGAGGGGCAGTCAAGAGCCAAAGATTCCTCAAGCAAATTTTTCGAAGCCAATTGGTGGTGCACCTTTTAAGCTTGCAATGAAAGATGAAACTGTGCCATCAAAGATCGGAAACATCAATGAAAAGAGTGGACCACCTGCAGAAGTGGCTGATGGTGGTCCAAGGTACAAGGCTACTAATTCTCATCCAATTTTAAATGAAAGCTCATTAAGTAGGGCTAATCGACTGCAACAGAGTCATGTATCGGATGAGCATGGGTTGCAGAATGGTAAGGATTCTGATGAGTTTTTGAAGGAGTCCTCTCCAGGTTTTGATGTTCTTGTTGATGATGAGCTGAGAGGCTCTGATTATTATGGCAGTGAAGAACAGTATGGGAGAACAAGAGGTCATGAGGGAACAAATATGATTTCTATAAATGATTATGACATCGGTCATTCTGCTGATTATAAGATGATTGCTGATGTTGATCATGATGTTTATAATGATGTTATAGACTATGACTATGACAGACTCGACAGTAGGCAAGGGCAGTATGGTTGGGAGCAGCATCGGACCCCGTCCGAGAAACTTTCTTTAGGGTCAGCCCAGATGGAAAGAAGGCTCTTTCCGAAATCTAATAGTCCAGAACATGTTCAGAATACGGATTTACGCTACCGTTTAAACAAGCAGAGAAGAGGAACTGGTTTGAGATCTGTGATCAATAATGAAAATGCTGCTAGTCGCCCTGTTGAAGAACGAAACTATCGCACTTCTAGGAGAGATTCTCATCCCTCTCAGGAAAGCTCTGGGAGTAACCGTCTTCGAGGTAGGATAAAGCTCCCAAGGATGCCATCTCCGGTTAAGAACAATGGTTTACGGCCCGAAAGAGATTTAAACCGGGGAAGACACTGGGGAAGATTGTCACCTGGAAGGTCACCATCCTTGTCCCATCAGGGAAGCATTAGAGATGAAGTTAAAGGAAGACTGGAAGAGGACTGTAATAATGAGCGTAGAAATTTCAATGGTTTCAGTTCTAGGAGGGACAGAATGGATGGAATGTCTAATTTTGCTGCTCCGAAAAGTCTGGCAGAGCTGAAAGGCGAAAAACAAGTAGTTAGTAAGGAGCACCAAAGCCTTGGCAAAAGAAAAGGCTTTGACAATGAACAATCTGGAGGCGAGCTTTCGTTCGAGGGACCGAAGTCTCTCAGTGAGATTCTTAAGAAGAAGAGACGAGTTAAAGCAGCTGTTGATCTAGACAGTGCTGAAAGAGAAAGCGGTGAAAGGTCAGTAGAGCGCTCTACCACAACTCCCCTCTACAAGCAAACTGGCCTTGAAGGAACTAAGTCCGCACCAGCTGAAACTTTTGGGCAAGAAGAGGAAATTATTGATATATCTCATCAACAGTCTTCTCAGCCACTTCATTCGACTGATGAGCACGAAAGTGAAGCTTTTGACGAAACATTGGAGGAGGACCACGAGTATGAAGCAGATGATCAGAGAGATGGTGAATACGAGTACGATCAAGTCGATGATGGGGAGTACAATTATGAAGAAGGCGATAATGTAGATCCCGAAGGAGAGTACATGGAAGATGAAGACGGGGATGACTTTGCAAAGAAAATTGGTGTTATGTCGTAATCGTGAGAGACGGGCGAGAGAGGAGGGGGGGCGAGAGAGGAGGGGGGAAGCAGCGCAGATCACACATGCTCTTTATATGAACATTTTGTTTGTGAGGACTTGCATGGTCAGTTCAAGACGAGCATGTATGTGACTGCCATGGATATCTTCAGGACTGAGCATATTGGAAATTCCTCCATGTATTAATTAGAACTTTTTTTTTTTTCCTTTTCTGTTTTAATTATATTTTAATCCTGATTGAATTGGAGATTGTTGGGTCATGCTTGAGGAATTTTGTTGTGCTCTCCAGTTGAAACAAAGTGAAAGGAGTATGCTGCAGTTGCAGAGTGGATGGTCTAACAGTAGAAAGTTAAAATAAGAAAATTGATATTCTTATGCACCTTTCAACATCAACTTCTCATTATCCCCTATTTCTTGGTCCTTTTTTTCTCTCTTTTTCTCATTTCTGTCTTTACAAGATTGTGTCCATCTCTACTTTTAGGTTAAATTACAAATTTGTTCTCTATGATTTGACCAAAGTTTCGATCTAATCAGTGGTCTCTATGCCTTTAAAAGTTTCAATTTAAATCTACCAATGATTTGAGCGAAAGTTTTAATTTAGTTCTTCAATTTGGTTTCTATGACTTTGTCAAATTTCATAAATTTTGTCTATTTTCTTTTACTTTTAACTTAGACGTTCTAACTAATACACAATTACTCAAATAGAAAACTGTTACGTATAAAAAATGGTCAGTATACGGTGGTAAGGTAGGAAAATTTTTTGAAATTTGACTAAATTGAAGAGCAAATTGAAACTTAAAGTTGTGAGGACTAAATTGAAACTAAAATCAAACTATGGAGATTGAATTGAAGCTAAACTCAAACTATATAACTTAAGTCTTGTTACTTACTAAGAATCACAGTGACAATTGAGTCAGAAATCAAAATGAATGTCAATCAAAATGAAAATTAATTAGAATGAAATGTTATTTCTTTCATATTGTTTATCCAAAAATGTATGAAATTGAAATTAGAATTCATTTGATGTTTACTAAAACTATCTCGAATCAAAATCAGAATAAGATATAAAACAATTACTAGTATACCTCTTTTACTTGAGCCTTGAAAAAGGATCTCAAATAGCCCTCCTTTCTTTTGTAGTAAGCCTATTAGTAGAGTAGGTAGCTCGTACCGCTCCTCTAGTTCAAGTAGTTTAAGAGTGAAGCTAGCTTAGTGAATCGATTTCAAAAACTCTTCCCCTTCCCCTCGTAAACTCGGTAAAGCAGCTTCGCTCCTTCCCTTTGCTTCTTTGAAAGTGTTTGAGTGAAGGCAGCATAAGTGCATTGGTCACATAGGCTTGAAAGTACCCGCTCGTGTCCTATTCAGTCAATTCCGCAGTTGAGTCTTGTTGTCAAAGTCTCGCTGATTGGCCCTGCTTCTTTCTAGCTAATTATAAATACATTATTGTGCTATTAATTTTGTTAATTACAATAGTAATAAATTTTAATTTATTTTACTATTATGTTATTGATAGTAAACAATTTTCATTATAATGATTTATTTAATATTAAATAAATAATGAATTGCTAACACTTTTTTATTAGGACAACCATCATTTAATATAAAATGTTATTATTTTAATATTTAATAATAATGAATTGTATTTTAAAAAATCTATTATATCAATTAATAATAACATAGTAAAATTAAAAAAAATAAATAAAGTTATAATATTTTATAATAAAATAACGTGAACTAATAAAAATTGTATATGTTTTTATTAAAAGAAAATTTTTTAGTAGTATGAATACAAAAACAAATAAGAAAACTGAACAAAAATTAATTAAAAAAGCTAGGGATGTCATTAATAGTTAAGTGAGAAAGATTGTAAAAATAGTAGGATAATTATATTAAATATGTGGGGTCCACAGAATCAGAAATGAGAAGGAGATTGAAATTGATGGGGTTGTAGGAGATGAATGAGATTACCAAGTTTGAGGTGTGTTCCATCATTTGATTTCATTCTTATTGATAAATGTTATAGGAAGATAAAACGAGATCCGATTGGACGAGCAGAAGACAGGAGTTGGGTCGGAGGAGGAGTGGGCTCACCAGGTAAGGAGGCTGAAACCCGACGACCTGGGCCGGCCATAGCCGACCCGGAGTCAGCGTCGAGACGTTCTCGACCCCCTGGCTAAGAACCCCAATGGTTCTCTCCCGACCCCCACGCAGCTCGATTCGAGTTTACCTTGTCTCAACCCTAGATTCGACATTGGGCCAATTACGAAACACACAGGCCCAGAAGTCTAGATCTCCTAAGGCACACTAAGATTCAACTTTGATCATTTCTAAAGGGATTAAGTTTCAATTTCTATAAATAGAAGGGTAAGCCAAACCTAGGTATGCTCACAATACCCTACACTTGTTACTCAACTACTCCGATCCTAACTTAAGCATCAGAGCCTGTCTGGCAAGAGTCACACTGGTCTTAGTGCTATTCTATTTTGCAGGTCTCGTCGATCTCTTATTCTAGAAGATTGGTGCGAATTTGGCAGAATCCCAAGAGGCCAAATTTATTCATCAACAATTGGCACCGTCTGTGGGAACGACTAAGATCTAAAGTCAAGACGATTGAAGACGAATTGACCGAGAACTGCTCGTATCTGAGAAGATCTCGAGAGAAACCAATCGACATGAATTTTGAAGATAGACCACAATTTTCTGACGACGAATGCCATACGACTTGGGGGCTGCCCTTACTTGAGGTATCGAGAGAAAAGCAAATCGACAAGTTCTGTGGCAGGACCCAGAACGAATGAATCAACAAATTCCATGACAGATCCTATGTAAGATAAGTCAACCCATCTGAATAAGAAGATAAGTCGAAAAAACTGCTCGGATCTGAGAAGATCTTGAGAGAAACCAATCGACATGAATTCTGAAGATAGACCACAATTTTCTGACGACGAATGCCATACGACTTGGGGGCTGCCCTTACTTGAGGTACCGAGAGAAAAGAAAATCGACAAGTTCTGTGGCAGGACCCAGAACGAATGAATCAACAGATTCCATGATAGATCCTAAGTAAGATAAGTCAACCCATATGAATAAGAAGATAAGCCGAAAAAACTGCTCAGACCTGAGGAGGTATAAGGCAAAGCAAGTCTACAAGTTATGGGGCAGGACCAAAAACGAAACAAATCTACTAGTTCCAAAATAGATTCTAGATGAGATAAATCGATGGATTCCAAAATAGGTTTATGGAAAAACGAGTCAACAAATCCCAGAATGGAGAAAGCAATTTGACGAAGTTCTAAGGCGTCTAGAAGACAAACTTGCTACTGTGAAAAGTCAACGGAATGTATCATAAGAAGACCCCCCCTTTTTGAGAAACTCGAACAACAACAAAAAAGCAACCTACGCTCGTCCGAGGTCCGCAGAAGAACAAAGCTACTACAAGGACCTGACAAGCGAATTACATAACTAGTCATGCCCGATCCAGGACATGACCAGATTCTAGGGCATGACCAGATCCGAGGCATGACCAGGCCCAGGACATGACCAAGTGTCGACCAAGCAAATATCTACCGAACAGGTCTCTTCCGACGACCATATCTAATAACTGCACGACAGTAGGAGCTACCTAGAAAGCTAACCAAGTCTCAAGAAATTGCGCTCGACAAAGTCTCCCACTAAGAAGATAAGGATAATATTAAAAGGATCTACAAGATGAAAATCTAGTAGAAAGAGAAAAGTGAGAATCGAAAAATAACGACGAGTATCACGAGAATGATACTACTCTACCTTAAAAAGCAATTGATTAAAATACAGAGTTTCTACTTCAGATGATGATAAGTTTAATGTGTAAGTTCGATTATTTAACGCCTGAGATTTAATTAATTCATGATTAGGCTTCTAGCGCCTCAGATTTAATTAATTCTTTATTACTTGAGTATTTATCTTTTATTCTAAATGAAAACTTCTCAAGTGGGGGCATGGGTAAGTTAATTAACAGCCTGTCAAGGAACTCGAACTGGTACATACCTGGAAGCAAGCCGATAAGCTAGAAGTCAATCAGTGAAACCGGGGAAGAGAATCCCAAAGGTGTTGAAAAAGACATGCGTACTGTTGGCTTTTTGGCCCTTAATCTCAAATTAATTAATTTTAATTAATTAATTAATCAATGTTTTGATGATAACAAACTTAATTTTTATTTATTGATAATTTTAGTTTTTTAAAGTGTCCACAGCGTAGAGCTCGTTACAATGATTCCAACGACTGTTAGATAATCCAAATTGGAACTCCGAAACAAATTGGAAGGACAAATACCCGAGAAGATGACGTGGACAGTTCGTAAGCTGACAAGTGACAAGCTTCTTTTTAAAATATATATATATATATATATATATATATATATATATATATTGAAAAAGAAAAGAAAAAGATTAAAAAAAATTCAAGAGTTACAAACGGTAACTTTGAAAATAAAAAAAAATTAAAAATAAATTTTTTTTACATCATGTCAGCATTAGATGTTGAAATGTGTCAGGTGTTTAAAAAAAAAAGTTTTAAAAATTTTTACCATTTCTCGTACATATATATATATAACTCTTAATTTATTTTTTCAAAATTATCTCAACCCTTCATTTTTAATAATTAGCATCAATGGTCCAAAATTAAACTTCATTTTTTTACCATTTTCTTCCCTCTATTTAAACTCAACTCCTCCTTCAAAATTAAACAACAATTCTCTTATTCTCAATTCTCCATAACTTCAAAATTCTCATTTGCTAATCTCTCCAAGTTCTCAATTTTTCTTTCCATCTTATTTGTGAGAGAAATTTATTGTTGTGAGGATTGAAATTTTTGTGAGCTCAAATTTGTATATTTACTCTGTTTGAGAGTTTGTAAGTGTGTTTAGAAATTTCCAACTCATTGTAACAGTGTGATCCTCACCGTGGAGATGATCGTTTTTGCTCTTGTGAAGAGCAGTGTACTGGTTTTACTCCTACCGTGGAAAGAGTCAGAATTTCAATTTACAACCCAAGAGGTGTTTGGGAAGTTGAGTAGGACAGTTGTGCCGAACCACTATAAAAATTTCCGGTGTCAAATTTCTCTAACCCTCTCTCTTATTTATTTTTGCAATTAATCTTAGAATTTTGTTGTTTGCTTTAAATTTCTCTTGTTTGCCTTAGAATTTATTTTATTTTACTTTGTTAAAATTGCATATCTCAAAAAGTGTATTATTTTTGTTTAAATTGAGCCCATTTATTAAAAAGTTTATATTTTGTTAATTAAACCCTATTCACCCCCCTTCTAGGGTTGTCATACCGATCTAATAATTGGTATCAGAGCAAGGTTGCTCTTCTTTGATAAACTTGATTGTTTTTTAGCTATGGCAACTTTAGAT